GGGAATTGAGGCGTGACTGACCGAAGCCCATCCCACAACCGACCCCGGCACTTTAACGGGAGGTAGAGAAATCGGAGTTGCGTGGTAGTCATCCAGAACGCGCTGGGAGGCTTCTCAGCGCCGGCGATGTCAATGTGACAGCTTGAAATAATCCGGGGACAGTTTGAAATGATTCCTGGATAGCATGATATGATACTGGGACAGCTTGACATGAAAAAGTTATAGACACTGCCGAACCCCAACATTGAACTGTATCATCAAAGCGCACATTGACAAGAACAAAGAACTTTACATATCATGATTTTCCTTCGAACAGTGGTCCCTGATGAGTCACACATTACAATTCACCGCTGTCTTTTGAACCCCAGCATGGTAAGATTCTCAGAATGCCGCGGTCAAAATGTAATTTTCATCACCGCAGATGCAATCAGTAGTTAAAAATTACATGCGATCTGCAACATCGTGCGATTCTTAATGATTGCCCTTAGGATAACTCACCGTCAAACAAAAGCTACCCGATTGATGGTACAGATTTACGGTCTAACAGAGTGGACCTAGGCCTTCGAAGCAGATTGGATAGGCCTGTGTGGATTGAACTGTGACAAGCGGCATGGTCCAGAACAGATGAGCTGGACAAGCCCATGCGACATTTGGAGAACTATATAAACAGCGATAACACCATTGAAAGTTGATTCGGTGAAATCAAATCCGGAAAGGAGGGAGACTTGCAGTTTATGCGTGTGTGCACCCAATTTGGGTTACTTTTGTGTCAAATCAGTATGGTAGAGTCTGAACACCCGTCCATTTAGAACACACTAATTTCTCTATGAGGGAACGAAAGTAACTTCCCCGTGAGTTCTTTTGGTTTCTAAATTTTTCCATCGGGATTGTTATGCCCTTCATGAAGATGTGTGAGCCTTTGGCTGTCGCTATCGTCCGATCGTGTAAGACAGCCAGTTGCGACTATGTGGATCGATAAACGAACCGCGTTATCGTGGACACAATGCGTTGTATAGGCGGGATCAGCAGACGACTTGAACAACTTAGCGAACGAAATTCAACTGAGGCCGCGATAAACTTGGGTTTTTGGGGTCTTCATGCAATTTTGTGAGCATTGAAAGGCACGATTTACAAAAAGTGTAAGCTCACACTACAGTATAGTAGAGAGCAATAAGAGCATACCTGTAGAATAAATTCTGCCTTATATTAACGCTCTTCACATACACTACCAGCACCGCTATCCTATTGTCCATTGTCTTCCCTTTGACCGTGTGATGTTGCTTTCATCCCCTTATTGATCCGTGCCCATGACTGTCCTCCAAGCCGTTTACACATACGCACGCACTGTTAGTATGTTTGCCCCATTACGTTGACCTCTGTCGGTCTCACCCGTCTCATCGATCCGTGCCCATGATCGACCGACTCTGACACTTGAGTACACACACGCACACACCTACACCGATTCATCGCACTATCCTGTCACGACGGGCCCTGATGACACATTTACACCCACTGTGTTGTGATTGGTTCCCTCTAGGTCGCTTCTCATTATTGACCACCACGGATTCATGTGATCCTGTTCGACATCGTTCGGTGTATTCGTTCTATTGCCATCGCACTGCGCGCCTGCTTGCTCGCATTTCTTGCTTGTCGGATTACTGGCTTCACAGATTCCGGTGTTTTTAACCGGCTAGTGCCACAGTTTGAGGTTTGCATATTTTTTACTATTGTAAACTGTATTTCAGTACCGCATTTGTAGAAGAAACCTATTTGTTGAAAGACACCGTCTTCCGGGTTTTTTACGCGTTACTCTACGTGGATCGTTGCAGCCTGTGAAGTCAACAATACCTATTGAATCACAAGAACCACAAGACCTAATCTAAGCCTAATAATTTACTGAAAATAATGAAGTTTCTCATTTTGATTTCCATTCGGACTACTGAAGTCTGTTTTGCTGGTGAGTTCCTATAACATATCTTTCAAATTTACGGCACTCAGTGTGTGCATCGATATGTATTGTGGTCGTTTGGGCAAGCAAGTTTGAGCTTGCGGCACTAAATTAATCAGTCGATGCATGCGGGCCCTAGGAGTGGAGATATCAAACCTAAGCGGTTTATCAAGTAGCTCGCCCACAACCACAGAGAAAAACTTTTACGTTCCAGTTTAGTCTTAACTCAATGCGCACCAAACGAAAAGAAAAAAATCAGCATGGAGCTGAAAAATAGGTCAAGTTTGGTTCGCTTTACTTGAAACGGATAAGAGAAATAGAAATGGAACGGCTTCAGTTCCCGAGGAAAATGAAGAAGGAGAAAGATGAACGGTCAGCAAAATTAAACAAGCAAAATGCAAGAGGTAAAACTCAATTCAAAGGAAGGTAAACGTTGCATTTAGGTGATAGTTTGTTACTCCTATAGTTGGCAGCATTCGAACTGCAAAAGCCCATTCCACCTTCCGAAAACATCTAGGTCCATACAAAATCATGCATGAGCTTGAAAGTTCCTTCGAGGACGTGATCTATCACGGTTATTACTGGGATTAAGACATGGAGTATTCCACATTCAGTCTTGTAGTATAACTTTGCACTTTGATGGTTCAAAGCGAGTACAGCAACTATCAGCAGAATATTATTTTGTTCCGTTTGTACAACCTCCTTTTAATCAAGCGAATAAACGACAACACCTTCGCATGCAAATTCTCCCGGTTTTTCCGAGCTTCCTTTTGGATCGTAAATATATGGTTGTCAACTGGCGCCTATCCAAAACGCAATCTACGGCGAAATCAAATGCCCAAGGCGAAATCAAGTCGGAATGACAAACAATGCTATCAGTTGCCAATCAGCCCTTTAATTCACTGATGGACATAATTTGAATACAAGTATACGCTGGACACAGTGATATTACGTTCAAAATTAGAGAATCCAATAGGGATCTCAATGGTAACCGGAAAAAATGTATTTGTTGAACATTTTTCGGTGTGGGAAAGATAACGCTATGGTTTTTGCAACCACGATCTGCCAGGAATTCCGCTTAAAGATTATGGTTGTGTTGGTAAATTGGGAATAATTGTCAATAAAATTTATCTTTAGCCTTAAATCAGCCATCAAAACGTCCTAATAATCTTATATAAGTTTCATTGTTTGACAGAACTTACGTTATTCAAGAGATCTCCAATTAGACCAGTCCAATTTCCGTCATCCAGAAGCGCACCGTATTGTCCATCCGCAGGAACGAATAGTCGATAGCTTAAAATCAACAAGGTTTGGATGCTACTGATATTCAGTTCACTTGAGATGCAGAAATTTGGTGGACTGTAAACCATCGAATTTAAGGTATTTCTTTCACGATGAGATAGATGATTATATCAATGCATTCCAGGTTCACTATTTTTTTTCTGTGGCCTTTTTATTAAATGCAACCCTTTAATGTATTCTTGTGGATGGGCTGTAGCTAGTTAGGCATCACTTGGATATCTATACAATGGAAAAGTCAGGTGGCGTTAAGAGGTTCTGATATTCTGGGGCTTGATCTGCTTTACCGACACTAAATAATCTACCGAGCTAGATACACGCTGCTGAGCGACTGAGTTCATAAAATCGTTCTGTTCTTATCCCTGCTCAAAATGTCACGAGTAATGTCTTTTATTGACGTGACTTAGGTCATCAGTTTCTGTCGAGGATTCAATGATGCGTGCGATTGATTAAAAGCAATCTACAAACTTTTGTTCACTGATTTGTTCAGATATTCAATTTGACCGTTTGTTTTTTCATGAGCACTGATGTCAGTTGCAATACATAGCTGTTTTTAAACATTAGAAATATCCATGAGTGAAATACTTTGAAAACGTAATTGCTGGGTTCTATAAAACCTGGTTTATACTACAGATGATTAATGGGGAGAATGGTTTTTTACGTGACTATCTCATGCTGAAGGATAAGTTAGCGCTAACGATGTTATCAATAGATATTCATGAGATTTGGAGAAGCGGTGATACGCCGAGCTCCTTTCGGTGCTTTTTCACTATTCGGTCTCATTGTCCGGAGTTGAGTTTGCTGTCACCTCATTCAGTTTTTTCATCCTACGTTCCAGCGTTTACATGCTTGAGCGTTATTTTCAAGTGATTCCATTAAACATCCAGCTTCATTTCGAACCCTGCATAAGCACTTCCTTACCAATTGCAGAACCTTTTCACATTGCAGTCACTCGTGTTACAATGCCCGAGAAGCGGTGAACTTGTTTTCATCGCGGAGGTCGCTTCCCAAAGCTCACCTAGAAATCAAGGCTTTTTCACGTGCTTTACTTTATCAGAGTAAAACCTATTTTCAGATTGCAATTTTACGAACCTACAGTAGTTCATTCACATAATTCCATTTATTTTTTTCTTGCTCACTAAGCTTTTGCTTTTTATTCAGTCTTGAGTTTATCCTGTCATCTTTAAAGCCCAGATGCGAAATATGGAAGCAAACAATCATCGTGCTAGAATTACTTTAAATTAATTTATTTTTCATACGTGTTTCAATTGTGTGCATATGGATAATCAGAAATTCCCTCCAAAAATATACTCAGCTCAATTAGAAGTTATTTAGGCTATAAATTACTCGAAACTTAAAGAACATTTGGAATGATAACTTTAGGCTAATAAAAAGTGCACCGTAATGAAGAACCGTATGGTAAATTGCTTGGCAACGGAGTGTGCAATGCACTGTCAGTCTGCTTGAGCAACTTCGTATTCAACACTCTCCGTGAATTTCAGATGCACGATTCCACAAAACCTAAAACTTTATTTTGCGTCTCATTTTAGCAGTTCAGTTTTGGTTCGTTTTCTATCCGACAAGTACTCTTTGTTAATTCCGGTCAGCTTAGAGAATTCAAATCATAGAAGAGCAAAACACGTATCATTTATACCTAATTGGTGTGCTCAGTAGGTATTGGCGAGAAATTCACTTAGAAATTAGCATAATTTATCCTACTTACGTGAAATTAAAGTGTTTACTCATCCCCTCCAGTATGTCGACCGCCATACCCGAGGCATCGAACAACTCGTTTCCAATGCGCTCACCGTAGTTTTTGATGAATAAATTATCCTGAATGCAGTTTTATGCAACGGAGAGACAGAAAGGTACACGGGTGTATTGTGTTGAGGTATGTTATGATATAGACAACTAACCTGAAAAGTGCATGACATCAAAAATACATCATGCCAACGGTGTGCGGCCTCGGCATCTACTGAAGTGCGTTAAATACAATGAACTTTTTTTACATAAAACCCACACAAACAAATCTTGTTAAAATGCACTCACCGTAAACAACTGCTGTCATAGGGAGCCAGTAGTTGCCTGATCAAGTGATTCATGCTCGACATTTCAGCCTCATACCATAGATTTTTAACGTGGAGCAAACTGAGGAGATCCATTTCAAAAAATCAACGCAAAACGCTTGTATGTTTCTATGCTTCGGGTCAAATCCCGCTGAATGTAGCCGCTATTCATGATTGATGACTGCTTAGAAGCTCATTGTTGCTTTTTGTGCTATAGTCTTTGCCTACCAAACACATTTATCGTTTGTGAGCGATCGGTTTCATAAGTTGCAACTAAAGTTCTTTGCTGTCCCGATTTCAAATAATATCCTTTCCCATGTCATAATAAACGTCTAAGGAAAAGAAATACATGCATGCATAATTTCAAAATATTTTGTTTTCCTAAAGTATCCATTTGTATTAAATTTAGGTAGATCAAATTATTCTGCGTCGCTGAGTTGTCTTGGTTTAGAATCCTTGCGGTTTTATACGTTATATTGATAAAAAAACAAGCTCCGCATAGGTATTCCTGACATGTTCGATTGACTGACTAACTCACTCACTCATTAACTGATGGTTTGGCCGCTAGATCAACCGATTGCCCATAAGGAACCTGGGTGAGCTTAGATGGAAATGATCTCTGTATTTTGAATGGAAGTGAGATACCATTAATACAGCACAATTGATTTTTTTGGTATAAATTACAAACATCATGCATAAAACTAATACTAATGATGGTGAATTCAGCGGAAACTATAATCTTTCATGTGAACGTTCGTTTACAGTACATAAAAGTAAACTTATTTCTTACGTCCCGAAATCATATGCAGGCATTTTGTTGCCTTATACGGGTTCAATGATTGTAGTATACCTCACGGTGACTACGGGGTTCACACCGTCAGCGCGTGCATTAAAAAATGTTACCTTTAACCGTATTTTTAAAATGAAATATTGAATAAAGTTACTGCTATTCATGAATTTTTTGCAATTTTAAAATGGAATGAAAAATAAATATTATTCCAAATGTTCATCCTGACATTTTCTGTCCTAAAGCGATAATACTCATAAGGCGTTACTTTGAAAAATTGTGAAATCAACTAATGCAGTTGTAGTCACCACAGAATGGGATTAGCATTGGTTTGGGCGATAGCAAATTTGCATCTCAAAAGTGAAGTGTATCGCTGGTAACGTAAGAACTTTGAAAAAAACTGATTGGTTTGAGCTAAGGCCCAATGTTGAGAAGTAAAGCGGAACACAGTCGTATAAGTGAGAAACGCGGTCTAACAATTGGCTCAGTGAACTTACTAATAGAACACCGACGCGAATTTCTTGATTGTTCAATTGTGTGAAGCGATCGGGAAAAGCGGGTGAATAATGCGTTTGGGATAAAGTGTGCAGTCCATCGGGTGTGATCAGTGGGTTCATGTGCAGACGAAATTTCATTGTAGAATAAAACGAATATTTCCTGCTGTCATAGTCTAGTTTGCTTGCGTATAACCAAAGCACGTCATTGATCTCTGAGGTTTCCAGGTCCTATGGAAACATAAGTGGAAAGCGAACAAAATTCAGAGCAGTAAAACGATTTAGAGCATGGCTTTATTTCTGTGCTCTCAATCATAACTCAGACCATGATTAAAACATTCGTTATCCAGACGTTCCCCTTTGGCAATGAAAGAAGTGAGTAGATATATTCGATCTTTATGAGACCGATCGATAGTTTTCGAAGCAGCGATTCGCGGAATTGGTCTTTTCTGTTTAATTCAACTGTTGATGCTCACGTAAAATCTACTGCTTCACAAATCTACGAACTGTCGATGAAAGGAGGAATGCAAAACCAATCGGTCATATTGTTATGAATCTTTTGTACACACTACTTTTGTGAACGGTTTAGCCGTTGTTTTAACTTCATTACTCGCTCAGTATCTTTGTGGTCTTATTCCGTGATTTGCTCTGTTATTTGTCGTTCTTTAACTGGGACCGACGACGGTTACATAAGTCGCAAATATGTATTGACTTTGCCTATAACAGAAACAGTATTTCAACTGTCGTTCAACTGAGTTTTCCTTCGTGCTACAAATTCGGTCAGTCGAACTCGAGACATTGCGATTCGTATTGAACGTTGTTCCGATTGCCGTTACAGTTTGAAACCATGGTCCAATTACGTTCGGTGAGCGCTTCTATATTAACTGAAACATTTCGATCCCGTAATGAACTTGAACAGGCAAGTCAGAAGACAAACACTGCGAGAGGAATTCCTTTCGTATACTCTCATCGGTCGCGTACGTATAACATCGAACAGGATAGACAAATGAAGCGAATTAAGAAATCTAGTTAGTATTAACCATGTGTGTGATGCACGCAATTAACAAATCTAGTCAGTATTACCCGTGTGTGTGGTTGTGTACAGTGTGTGTGATGCACGTGATTGGTTACAGCCAGGGAAGGACAAGGGTAAAGGTCATAAGTTTTTGGATGCACAGTGTGAGTTTGTTGTGAGCGATCGATAGTGCTTCGAGTATCCTTAGTCCATGTTTGTCTCGATGACGTAACAAAACGGAGAACGCGTTCGTAAGGTCTACCCTGTGCGAAGCATACATTGGTAGAACCGACCGATCACTGCTTACCAGAATGGTTGAACACATCCCCAAGTATGTGCGTGACTCTATGACTCAGCCCACACCACACCCTCCGACAACATCACGCAGACCGACTTCGGCTATCGCACGTCACTTGCTTCTTTGCTAAACTCTCTTGTGGAGAAGGTAAAACACTGGTTTAGCTGTTACAATGCCGTAATGGAGTAGCTAGAGAGAAAATAGAACCGTGCATACTAATGGCAGACGAAGGTGGGTATCAAATGGCCAGGGAGATGCTCGATAAATTATTTATCGACCGCAGGAAGCAGTTAGGGCTGTAGTAAAGGTCATTCTAGCTAACACGGCAGAATTGAGTGAGATAGACGAGGGCCTGAGCAGGCTTAGCATCAAACTGCGAAGCTGCTATATGGTCCTAATGAAAATGGGATGTGGGTCCGAGTTGGATTTCATACCCGCGCTCGATATATTGTTTACGAGTGCCCAGACGTTTACAACGTACGTGGGCCGAAGTGGCGGATAGGATCGTATCTAGTGGTGAACGGTACCGGTTTGTTGACTTTATTGAAGTGATAGAAGCAGAGTCGAGGATTCAAAACAGACCTTTTGGGAGGCTAGTGGACTCAAGGCGTTCACCAGACGCTAAACGCCCCTGGGGTCCCCGGTGTAACACGCATGTGGACGCAACTACAGCTAGACCAACATCAACATCATTACAAAATTTTAGTGCCCTTTGTGCCTAAAACCGCGCCCACTTACTAAATGTGAAGATTTCTTCAGGTCGAATGTGGTGGAGAGAGTGAAGTTTGTGGTGAAATTAAACCTTTGTTATAGGTGCATTAAAGCCGGACATGTGAAGAAAATGGTAAATGCTCGGTTGATAATTGCACCGGCAAGCATCAAGGTCTACTTAATCCGCCTCCTAGTTGTCATGTGTCCAGAAACCATTCGCTAAAAGAGGACTACTGTCGTATGTCGCTTTTCTGTATGACCCTCAGGGCCTCGCTACTCCAATGCTTCTGACGGGCGGAGTGTTGTTATAAGCACTTCATCGCAAAACCCTTTGATGG